CTACAACTAAGTCCTCACTCAGGTACGCCATTAACTCGTTGAATCCGCTGCCACCTCTTGATGAAGATCCACTTCCACTCTCAGATTCTTCTTGACCTTGACTCATCATCGTCATCTTCTTCTTCTTCTTCTTAGACAACCCGAAAACATTCAAGAATGAATGCGGATTGTCGTCTCGTTGTTGCGGTTGTTCAACACGAGGTGTGTTTCTAAACCTACTTTCGTAAGAGATATATAGAGAATATATTTTTTCCTTTCTAATAAGAAACTGGTCAATATTGTCTATAGCTAAAAATTCACCTAAGTTATCTAATCCACTTTCTAAACCTTCTAATTTTAATCTAGGGTCAAAAATAACACCGAAACCATACAACATGGGTAATTTAGACCAATATTTTTTAAATTTCTTTTCCATAGAGGCGATAGGAACTCCTAAAACCTTATGCGTCCTAAATTCACTAAATAAAATAGACATTCTTAAAAGTTCTCCTAATGCTAATGGTGAAGTTGGGTAATAAGTTCCACTAAGCTTTAAGGTAACTTCATGAAATCTACCTAAAAAGTTATACAAAAGTTCGGCAATTTGCCAATCAGTTTCATCTATAAATCCTGTTCCTAATTTTGCACTAACATAATTTGTTATAGCATCTTTATAGGGGATGCATTGTTCAAGCATTATGTAAGTGGAGTTCCATCTTATGGGCATATCTAAGGCTAATGCTCTAGGATTTTGATTACATGCTTGTAGAAATCTAAACCAATCTTGTATTCTTTGATTACTACCTTAAATCCAGACAATGTTATCTCTAATTCTTTTAATATGACCTGACATTGATTTTAAACCGGGCTTTACTACTAAATTAATTATATGACATGCACAACGTTAGTGGAAAATATCATTATTACTAAATAAACTTAAATCATTTTCAAAAAGTTTTATTGCTTTAGTATTCGCAGTTGCATTATCTAATGTTATGGCCATTATTCTATCTCTTAAACTATATTCATCAATAACAGATAAAATTGTGTTATATATTAAATT